TAAGCCAGGCTTTACAAAGCCGGTGACCTAAAAATGGCGGACGTACATGAAAGAAAAACCGCCTAATCTTTTAATAGTCTCTCCGCCTCTCACACGCCTCCCCACACGTCGTCCCTGCGGGGTACAGTAATTAAATCTCGGCTCCGAACATTTATATTTCCGTGAATATCTCTGGTGATATTATCTCCGTAGATAGTCGATTCATTGCTGCTCTACGGGCCAAATTATTCCTTTTTCGTCTCTGTTTTCAAAGATAATAAAACAGAAGAGCTTTTTTCCTTCGATCGCCCTCAGCCGCAATGCTTTCTTCACCACGAGTTTAACTGATGAGCATGCGCACTTAATATTTCTCAGGTAGCTTCCGCATGGCGAACGGAGACGCGATTTAATTACTGTACCCCGCAGGGACGACGTGTGGGGAGGCAGAGAGACTATTAAAAGATTAGGCGGTTTTTCTTTCATGTACGTCTGCCATTTTTAGGTCACTGGCTTTGTAAAGCCTGGCTTACTTCGTTGAGAATGTGCTCTTTGTCAGTAACCTTACCATTTTCAGCCATAGTCTAAGTTAGAGATTATATTATCACTTTCAATTATTTTTCAAAATTTGTACTAACATGTGTTTGATAAAGTAAGTGATATATTTTATCTCCACTGACTATATTATGATATGATAATACACTGACATTATAACATTTCAGTTGAAGACCAATTTAGGCAAGGGGCGTGGGTTTATTAGGTTTGCTTTGGTACATCAAAGACTGGCAGACTCCATACAGCAGTGTGCTATGAATGGGAAGGTCACCAGGTGGGTTTTTTTAAAATCACAGGGTGGGTGCAATTAGGTCACAGGAAGGTGTAATTAGGTCACACGGTAGGTGTGGTAAATAAGAAGGTCACAAGGTGGGTTTTTTAAAATATTACAAGGGGGGCATAACTATATCACAAAGTGGGTGTGATCAAGAAATCACAATGTAAAGACCAACATTCAGTCAAAAGTTCTTTTATAAAATTGGCCACAGCGCAGTGGAAGTCTTAGAGAGAATTTTTCATGAATGAGAACTTTATACAGAAAAAAAAAAGAATTCAGAATTTTGACATTTTTCCTTTGTCAACATTACACACTCCTCTTTGTAAGATGTACATGAAGAGATTTATTATACACTTGATTGATGAAATTATTGATGACGTAAAAATTGAATGGAAACTCATTTGCAGTTTTCTTCTTCTTCCAGTGACTGGTACTACGCAGGCTCAGTCTGGCTAATGCATGAATACTCTATGGAGGTGATAGCCAGCATGTATGACCTCAATGAAGTGCAGTTTGACCTTGCTCCCCATGGATACGACCTTGATGCAACGTGGCCGACATTTGCCAAGTTTGTGAAATTTCTTTTAGTTCTTTCTTTTAGTAATTTTTTATCCAAAAGAATATTTTCTGGAGCAATTGTTTCTGTCAATAAAATAATTTTGAACTATTTCTTAAACATTTATTAATAGAGTTCAAGAATTATTGAATTTTAAGAATAAGAATATCTGTATTGTCATTGTTTGTAAAAGATTAATGTCTCAGACTTGTTCCAAAGTACCCTATCCCCCCAAAATAATAATAATAATGTGAAATGCGATATTGGCACTTACAAAAAATTTAGATTGGTTTAAGTACAAGTCTTAACTGTTAATAACAAAGTACAGTGACTTCTGACTACCACATACATCTGTTCTCTTCTAGGAAGACGTTTGGCTCGCCCAAGGGGTGGAACCCCCCTAGTAGAACCTCTAGTATGAACAGCCTCCTCAGCATACCCAATGTGAGTAGCCATTTATGAACTGCACTCTCCATATATTGTAGTATTTTTGATTTTTTTACCGGACTTACAGAAATCGCAATTGAGATGATGTTGCAAAAGGGACTTTGAAAAAAAATTTGCTTCAAAAAGTATGAAAGTAATGTTACAGATTGAAATTTGAAATGCAGTGAGGTTTTATTTAATGAATTCAAGTAGTAATGTCCATGATGACATTAAGATATTCCATTTTCACTTATACAGGAAGGAGATGCATGATTTTCCACGTCTGTCTCCCTGTACTTAATTTAGAAGCATTCTACTCATACTTTTGTGTGTTTCATGCTATGTAGTATGTGTACCTGTAGCTGTGCCTTGTTTTCTAGGAGTCTCCCGGAGTGGTAGTAAAACTGAGTGAAGAAATTCCAGAATTAGAGATAGATACCACTAACTGGGGTGGATGGCAAGAGCAGGTTGTCTTGCTTTCATAATATTCCATATACCTCATCCTGCATACCAGATAACATTCCCACCACCTTGGGTTCTTGCTGATGAGATTTTAAAACCTTTGGCTACATTTCAAGTTCCAGTACATGACCAAGTGCAAAAAGAGTTATGGAAATTATTATTTGCCATTGGTCACAAAACTAAGACTTTTTAGCAAGAATCCATCAGTGGAGTTTTATGCTCTCAGACCCATTCCTGCATGTTAAAATAGGAGGCATACCTACTCAGTGACACCTACCCGTATGACAAGCACTGAATTAACACCCATGAAGACATCTGAAACCAATTTTATTTGGATAATTTTTCCTGTAAAGTCAGCTTAAAATACAAGTCAGCTTTGTTGATGTGAAAATCAACATGTTTTGGCACTGCTTAAAATACCAGTGGCTTCACCCTTGCTTTCACTAAGGTAAAGATCTCTCACTGGCACCCTTTTCAGGCTGCACTCCCTGCCAGTGGCGCCCAAGGGAAAGGTGCTCTATCTACACTTACCTAGGTCCACCTCTTCTGTTTTCCATTTTATTTATTCTCATGTCTCCTAGACTGTTGCCCATATGGTTGTTTTTCATTTTGTTTTCCTAACAATGGAGCAACTCTGATTGTGCAATAACACGGGCTTCTGTCTGTCACTGTTACCCAAGTTAGAAAGTGATCGAATTGCGATGTTCGTAATCATCATGCTCTTTTACGCTTTGTATGGTTTTGATAAAGAGGTTTTATGTTTCACTATGGATGTCTGAAGTCTGTTTTTCTCAAAGGTATGATATTCAGTGAAGTGTTATGTATTATCTGTTTAACTTGCATGCTTCGTGTGTCAATGTCTCTTTTCTTTCATTTCTATTTTCAGCTTTAAGTTGTAACCCGAGCCTTTAGAATATCTTCCTCATGCAAACTAAAAGCAATTTTGTATTGTTTGAATTGAAAAGAATTTTTTTACATGTTTTTTGTCATGTATCCCTCCTGTTAAAATGGCACAAATATTGGTTTAAAATGTCTTTATTCCTACAACCACAACCTACTGGCACTTTTTGGATGTGTTTCAGATTGAATTAATCCAATTAAAAGTTGCAGTTTAAGTGTCCTTTGCACAGCAGAAATAACATGGTATTACACACGCACGAAAGTGTCTATGGTATGAAACGTCCTTGGTATGGGAAATCAAAAAAAAAAAAAAACAAAACTTCTAGATTGTCACTGAGGTGCAGTGATGTTGGTCAGTTACTTGTGATTCAGGGTCCCCACACCAGGTCTGTAGCCAGCATTTTCAAAAGGGAGGTTCTACTTCTGAAAAAGTGGACCTTTTACCATGAAACCATCATGTGTCTAGACAAAATTTTATCCACAGAGGACCTTTTCTTTAGCAAAAATTGGGGTTCTTTGGAACCCCTCCAACCCCCCCCCCCCCCCCAGGCAATGGGCCTGCACACACCTCTCTCCTGCAGGCTTGTTAACATATACCAGAAAGTCCTACCCAGCGTATCTCAATATGGCCCTTGGTTTATTTTAGGAAACCCCAAAAAGTGAGGGTCCACCCTTACTGACACCATCAGAATCAGAGGTAGAGCAGCTGCAGCTTGACCTGGATCGCGCAGCGACAATGAGGACTGATTTGTTGCTAAAAATAGAAGAGATGGAAGGAGTGAAGGAGAAATTAACCAAAACTGTAGAAGACAAGGAGGGGAAGATGGAGGAGCTGAGGGAGGCATGCGGGGCACTGGAAGTCAGGTATAGACCAATGGCAGAAGTAAGGACCAGAAATTGGTCTAAATTTCTAGACCATAATGTTAGGCTGCTTTGACTTGAAACAGTTAGTTGTTCAATTAAACGGTACATTGAGTCTTTTTCATAAAACAAACAAACAAAAAATTGTAATGTATTAGACTACGTACTGGCCAGTCTATTATTGTTAGTAGTGGATTATTGCAGAATTGAATATTTTGACCTGTTGATGTCAAATTTCAGTAAAACGAAGAATTTTTTTAAATCAGGTGTGAGAAGCTGTCCAATGAGCTGCAGCTGAAGCAGGAGACATGGCATGAAAAAGAAGAGAACTTGAAACAAAGGATACTTGAGCTGGAGACGTCTGTCTCAGAAAACAGTGAAAGTGGCAGACAACACAAGAAAGAGGCAGATTCTCTAGTTCAGAAACTAAAGGAACAGGAAACCGAACAATTTACAAAAATCCAGGAACTTGAAAAAACAAATTCTGATCTTCAATTAAAATTAAAAGGCCTTGCCCAAGATCTTCAAAGCAAGGAAAGTGAAAATCAAAAGCAAACTGAAACTGTAAAAAGTCTGGAAGTGAAAGTGACAACTTTAGGGGAAAATAACATGAGTTTAATGAAAAGAGTAGAGGAGTTGATCCATTTCAAGGACAATAATGCTTCCAATCAGCTGGAGTCTGCTAAGCATGTTCAGGAGTTGGTGGAAAAATTGACGGTGTCTGAGCAGACAACATCTGACCTGAAATCAACAGTCAGCGATCTGTTGCAAAAGACAAAAATCTTGGAAGAGGAAAAGGAGAGAGAGGCACAAAAATTCAATGAAAAATTACAAAGTTTGGAAGCTGAGAACAGGGAATTGCAGAGAGACTGCGAAACCCAGTTTGAGAAATTACAGTCAAAAGATTCCAGTCTGAAAGAAATAGTTCAGAGTGCAATGGAGAAGGAGGATATGGGGAAAGAAATGCTGCAGGCAGCTCAGAAAGAAAACTGTGATCTTGGCAAACAGATAGAGAACTTGAAGGAACTTGTCAGTGAAAAAGATTCTGTGGCAACAAGACTTCAGACAGATGTTGGTCACCTTAAAGAAGAAATCAAGAAGGCTGAGGATAAAAGATTGCAAGATTTGAAGGAATTACAGGTATAATTCAAACTTTGTATCATGAGTATAGCAGGAGTAATTTTGTAGCCGCACTGTCTTTAAATATTTGAAAGCTGTCATTAATATGAAGGATATAAGTTAAATACAATTTTTATTGAAAAATAGACAACAGTTAAATAATGATTTCATATAGCTTAAGTGATAAAAATGAATTGCATTAATTTAATATATTTGCAGTATGGAAAATAACCAATATACAGTTGTGAAGACTAAACATAATGTATACCTTTTATAATATCTAGAAGGAGATTACATTTTCCTTGGAGCAAAGAGATGAAGAAAAGGAAAAGGCAGAAAATCTTTTGTCTCAGCTTGAAGCCATGAAATTGAGCACAGAAAAGCAGCAGAAAGAATTCCAAGAAGCACTCTCAGCAAAGGAAAGCGAATTAGTTAATATGAAAGCTGACTTATCCAATCAGAAGGCATCTTTGGAACTACAGGTGACTGAGCTAAGAACGGCTGCCGAAGAGAAAGAAAAAGACAAAGAGCAGATTAAGATTGACTATCAAAAACTTCTTGATGATGCAGAAAGTCATAAATTAAGCCTGGAAGCACAAGTTTCTCAAATGGAAAGTGAGTTGAAAATGGCAAAATCTACCCTGGCAGATACAGAAGGCAGACTTCAGATTGAGACAGAAAGCAAAGTGAACTTGGAACGCAGAGTCCAGGAGATCTTGGACGTTAGTCAGGAAGAATCTTCGAACGCATCTCAGATCCGCTATTTGTTGTCCGAGAGAGAAGAGGAAGTGCGGATGTTGACCTCCGACCTGTCTACTATTGGTCAACTGGTCAGCAAAATGGAGGACACTGCTGCCAACTTAACTGATGAGGAAAAGGAGGATGGGAGGGTTAGTAAAAGAAATTAAAGTAAAACTGATTGTTCTAAGAAATGGATGGTATTTGCAAGACTTTTGCCCAGTAATAATGCTTCACTTTGTTTTAAATTGAAGTTAGAATTAAGACTTTAGAATGAAAATGTGATTTTAATGTGTGGTTTTTACATAAAGCCCATTTGGTAGTCTGTATTATTAATGAAGTTGACATGTACATCTCTTCAAATTCTTTTCCACCATTCATCTTTGCAGGAGACATCGGCTATTTTTAGACAAATAAAAGAAAAAATTCAAGTGCAAAAGAAAAACAGGTGTGAATTACAAACTCAGATGGAAATGCTGCAAACTGACAAATCTGACCTAGAAATCCAGGTGAGCACTTTAAATGAAAAGAATTCCCAAACTGAACAAGAAAACAAGATGCTTCAGTTACAACTGGCAGATTTGCAGACACAGTTCAGTAAGTTACAGACGACAGAAGCTGACACAGCTTCCCAACTTGAAAAAGCCACTAGTGCTCTTCAGCTAAAGAAGGAACAAATGGCAAAACACCAGTCTGACTTGGATAGCGCTAAAGAAAACATCGAACACCTTACGGCTCAGCTAGGCAATGTGGAAAACATTCTGGAAGGAAAAGAAAAAACACTCTCAGATCTTATAATAGAGAAACAAATGCTGTCAGACAATTTTCAGAAAGTCACCTTGGATCTCCAGAACTCTGAAGAAGGAATGTCGGAATTACGAGTCAGAATCACAAGTTTAGAGGATGAGTTGTCCAACGCTACAGACCAGATCAACACCCTGGCCACCCTGAAGGAGGATCTCACCGATAAACACTCCAAGCTGCAAGAAGCTGTCGCCAAACTTTCCCAGGACAAAGGCAGATTATTGGAAGAGAAGCATGATCTGGAGACAGATTTGGAAACCTCGAAAAATGAGAAAGATTCATTGTTAAAAGATCTGGAAGAGATGAGGGGGCAGCTAAAGAATGCTTTGGAGGTCACAGTTGCTGGTTTACAAACTGAGCTGAAAGAGGCGTCAACGCTGAGGGAAGAAATAGAGGATAAGTGTTCTACTATGGCACGGGAGATTGAAGATTACAAGGAAAGGTTAAAAGAATCAGTTGAGTTGAGTAAGAAAATGAGGGAAGAGGAGCAGAGAAAGTTGGGAGCAAAGGACTTGATCATTGCAGAATTGAAAGAAAATATGTCAGCTCAAAGTGCCAGTTTGGATGCAAACATGACTCAACTCGATGCCCATGCCTCCGAAATCAATGATCTTAAAGCCTCGTCAGAACTGTCTCAGTCTCAGTTAGAATCTGTGACCAAGGAAAGAGATGTGTTGCGGTCAGAAAAGGAGTCCCTGAAAGATGAACTGGATACACTCAGTGCTGCATTCAGCAAGGTGAAGTTCGAACATCAAGTCGTAACAGAAGATGTTGTTCAGTTAAAAAAACAATTAGTAGAAACAGAGGCCCAGTTGAAAATAGGGTTAGGCAATGTCAAAGCATTGGAATCTACCAAAAACAGCCTGGAAGAAGAACTTGAACAGGTTCAAGGAGAACTTGAAGAATTACAAAAAAGTTATGACATAGTTTTGACTGAAAAACAACAAATTCAAGAAAATCTTACCTTGACTGAGAGAGACATACAGAGTCAGGTCAATGATTTGATGGCCCTGAAAAATCAAAATGACGGAAAGTTACGGACATTGATGGAAGAACACGACAGGACGCAGCAGACTCTTCAGGCAATGAAGGAAGAAAAGTTGGCCGTGGAGTCAAAATTGGAGGAATTCCAGACCAAGGATTCAGAGAGTCAGGAGAGGGTTTTGAGCTTGTTGGCGGAAAGGGAACAGATGTCGAAACAAGTGGAAGACTTACAGAGAGAACACCAGGAAAATTCCGAGTCTGTTCTGAGCCAGATGGAGGAGGCTAAAGCTGAGATGCAGAAACAGTCGGAAGATTTTCAGGACCACATGACCAAGATGGAAGAGGAGTGGCAGAACCAGAGGAATGTTTTAGAGCAAGAAGTGTCTTCTTTGAAATTCCAAATGAGCGCAGAGCAACTGCAGTTTGAAACTGCCTTGAAAGTAAGTAATAGCCTTTGTTTTTGTGTTTCACACTTTCACAAAAATGCATAATCTGCATAGATGTAAGTTGATATATAACATTTACTGAAATGCACTTATGGTGCAAATGACACAGAATGTTTCATTATGATAATTAAAATTACGGATATTGCATTTTTCTGAGAACAAACAACTATCATATAAATATTTTGAACCAGAGATAATTTTAAATAGTTCTACTGAAAGAATTTCAGCGATGAAATTGATGATAATCTTCTCTGAACAAAATGTCCACCATCTTGATGTTATTTCTTTCAGAGCTACTCCAGCCAGCAGATGGACATAGCCAAGATGACAGATCAGATGTCAGAGCAGGAGACGCTGATACAGACGCTGGAGATGCACCTGCAGGACATTAAGAATGAGAGGGACCTGGAGAAGGAACAGAATTGGAGAGAGGTGGGGCTCTCAGGGATCCCTGGGTCGTGTGTGTGTGTGTGTGTGTGTGTGTGTGTGTGTGTGTGTGTGTGTGTGCTCACACGTGCACACTATTTCAAAAACAAGTGCTTTCATAAACATGCTCATACACACAAAATTACAAACAGACAGAACTGGAGAAAGGAGTGTCTTATAATTCTTTGGTCATATGCACACGTTTTAGTACACACATGCACACACGTACACACACACACTTTTAAACAAACACAGACCACTGTTTTCTGCCAAGCATTGAAATTTAAACTATTTTTCTGTTCATAGTGACCTGTCTTCTTTCAGTTAGAAGAGCTGAGACAAGGACTGTCAGAAAAAGGAGAGGAGTGTAAACTGATGAGTGATTCTTTGAGGAGGGTATGTCCTGAAATTGTTGTAATAAAAAAAGAAATTGTGTAAAGTCTACATGTACATATGTGAGTATATAAATGTATATGTGTGTGCACATATGATTGCATGTGTGTACATTGTAGATGTGTAAGTATTTTTATTGTACTGTTATCAGTTGAGATTGATGGAACTTATTCTTTCTCCACAGACCAATTCTTTGCTGGATGAGGAAAGGAACTTAGTGCTGAAATTGAAGGTATGCCATGTGCTTGATAATTTTGGCAAATAAATCATCTTTTTATGTGGCATATGGCTGAATTTCTATTCACACATTGCACAATTTGCCCTCAGATTGCAATGTGAAATACTTCACTTGTTTTTTTTTTTTTTATTTTGCAAATGAATCAGTTGAACAGAAAGCACTTTTGATTTCTTTATAGGACTTTAAAAAACCAGAATGATTTTTTATGTACGATTAAAAATAATGAAAAATACAACTGATACAATGTCCAATTAGTTTCATGTCTCTGTTGAAAATTTTCTCAGAATGAAGCCCAGAATGTGAAGAAGAGCAAAGATGCTGTGATAAAAGAAAAAGACAAAGAAATCCAACAGTTAAACATAGATATGGTGGAACTGAAGAAGAAGCTGATTAAATTGATAAAGTAAGTCTGGAGTAATGTCTGACACTGTCAGCTCTTAAGATCTCAAACACTGAATTAAATTAATAAATCGTGATATTTCAGTTTTTTGGCAAATTCATACACAGTTTGAAGTCGCTTTTTTTTTAGTTTGTATGATTTTTAAAAGCTATTTTAAGATATTTTTAATATTGACAAAAGTTCCGAATGTTTTAGAGGTAAAATCTGGGCATCATGGCTATACTATAAATATTTTGATTTTCAACATATGATTGACTCAACACTAATAGATTTAAGGAATGTCATAGTAGAGAAAAAAAGTTTCAATTTTATCACACTCCTTGTCATTATCTCCAATTTGAAAAAATGATACTGAAATGTTGACAAATGTGCTTAGTGAGACAAAGATCACAATTCATTTTCACTTCTCAAGTCAAGTGTCTCGGTAACCATCCCTGTCACCATCTCTCTGGAGAATGACAATGCAGTGTTCAGAAATGTGTTAGGTGAGACAAAACACGCAATTCTCTGTCACAACCTCTCTCTGTGTTCTCCAGGGAGAAAGACAACCTGTGGAAGAGGACAGACAAGCTGGAGTTCGAGCACAGAATGAAAGCCTCGGAGAAGTGGATGGATGACAGCACGGTGGCGCACTGCCTGGGCTGCAAGTCTCAGTTTTCGCTGATGCTAAGGAAACACCACTGTCGGCTGTGTGGGAGAATCTTCTGCTGGAAGTGTAGTGATAATTGGCTGGATACCCCTCACAGCAAGTACGGATATGATGTGTGTATGTGTGTGTGTGCATGTGTGTGTGTGCGTGTGTGTGTACATGCATGTGTGTGTGTGTGTGCTTGTGTGTGTGTGCTTGTGTGTGTGTGTGTGTGTGTGTGTGTATGATGTCATATGGAATAGAATACTTGTAAATCTTCACCTTTGATTCCAATTCTCATGTGTTTTGTGATAAATCTTGTGAAATTGATTGTTCTTTGGCCTAAGGTGAAACTTTGATAAACATTGCCTAACTGGAATTACTGTGTAACTTAAACAAATTCTTTCATCCCAAAAATTAATTAAGAAATACGGACTATCTACTGTATACATTGCTACTCCAAATATTCAAACTATTTATCTATTCAGGCAGAAGGCCAGGGTGTGCAATGGCTGCTATATAGAGTACCAGGAGGTGAGGGACAAACATCAGAACACCTCACTGATAGAGGAAGAGAGTGACTCAGAGGTCGACCAGACGGAAGATTTCAGGAAAAGCCGCAGCAGAGAGCTAGATAATGGTGAGGGTTTGTTAGTCACTCGAAATCAGATTTGATATTTTTATCCCTGTTTCAGTCCAGCCTCCATCAGAACTTTGAAATTTTATCACTTGCTTCAGTATGTCTTTCTCTAGTTTGACTTTTCTTGAGGTGTTGCAAATAGATAACAAAATTTAAATTAGAGTGCAGGTAATTGATAATTTTGCATAACTGTTCAAGATGTGTTTGTACCAAGTAACATTATATGTATTTGATATATCATAATAATGTTTAAGATTTCATGATAACTGTGTGTAAAATGTTTCAGAATCCCCCACTCCACAAGAAAGCCCTCCTGTAGGGGGAGCTGTACAAGAAAGTCCTCAGACAAAGTCTTGTATAGAAAACGCATCCAATGTAATAGAAGAGGGACCAGGCAAAGGATCGTCTCCTTCACTGAAGGAAGAAGGTTTATCTACTAAATTTTATCATTATCATAATGATACGATTGTCAGTAAAATAGTATATAACAGTAACTATTTGAAGTTGAAAATGTTATTGCAACATTATTATTGAGATTAAAGCAAATTTTTTTATACAACTTGTATTTATCTTAATTATGCATCAACACATAAACATAATTGTTAATTATTTTTATATTTGCACTAACAGGAGCGTCTCTAAAGCAACATCAGTCAATTTTCATGGAAAAAATATTAATGAAACAAAATGTTCAAGTGATAGAATAGGAAAAGTGTGAACTAGAATTCAGTCACAGCATAAATCTTACAGTACACACTATTGTCACTTTTGTTCAAAGATTTTCAAGTTTAACCTTGTTCCTTATAAAAAAAAATCCATCTGGATAGGTGAAGATAGATCAGCATTCTTTTGTCAGAATAAAACAACATGATTTTTTTTTATAAAGTGAATGGGATTGGATTTTAATCCAATATATATTTTAGAAAAATTAATGATACAAGAGAATATATTCTTCTCTCCTCTGTCTCCAGCAGCCATGATGTCTTCAGTACCAGAACCGGAAGCAAGTGGAGACAACCTCCGAAAAACGGTGACCTCTGCCCTGGGGAATGGGGACAGGAAACACGAGACTGTCAACGAAATAGATGACACCAAAGAGACGGGGTATGGAAGATGGGGAACGATTTGTGAATTTTGTCACAAGTTTGAAATTGACCATTCTTACTTCCTGTCTTTGAAATGAACTAATTTTTGTTTTATTACACTGGTTTTGGTACGTGATTCATAACTGTTGCTCCTTCCATTCAGATAACTGTAACAATATGACCAAGTAAACTGTGTTTGGGATATTTTGATTAAAAAAAAAAACCAAGGCCAAATTCTCCTAACTCTGGTGCACATATTTTGCTGTTATGTATGTTTCAACAATATTATCAATTAATTTTTCTTGCTGCTCTTCATGTGATCAGTTTTCATAATTTTTCTAGAACTAAACAAAATGGCCACCCCTCCCCTCCAAAGGCGACTGAAATACCATGTGCCACAGCTGTTCACCATGATGAAACTTTTGAAGAGATTACAGATGAAGAAATTGCCAAATCCTTGTCAGAATCTGGAAAATTTCTGCACAGCCAAGAGGGGTGAGTAACTGCCAGGATGACTTGCTATGTTGAAGCTACAAGCTGATCCAAAGCTTTCTTGTCACAAACTAAGACATATTTTTACTCCTGAGAAATTTTGATTTCCCCTCAGCCATCGTCCTCATATATCTTTGGTGAGTAAAAAAAATTCTGATGTTTCAGCATGTCTGTTACTATGTCTATAAATACAAATCTAAATACTGTAACAAACTATAGAAGCATAGTAAAACAGTATGGTTTGATGAATCAGTTTTTCATTGTCTTGTGCATGAAGATAAATTAAAAAAAATATATATTTATGTTTTGACCCTTCTCATAGGGATTTAATTACACCACTGACTGTTGCTGTATGTAGATTACATGTAGGATTATCATGCCTCATAGGTAGGAAAACATTGATTAGTCTTTTTAGAAATTATTTCTTATTTTTTATCAACGATGCATTGCTTGTATTTGTGGTAATTATTTATAAACACTTAAATCTCTCTCTCGCTCTGTGTTCAGACTGACGAGCAGTTTCACGTTGTCCGCAGAGGAGATAGAGAACGGTCAGGGACTGGTACCTGATGACCTCTGGGTGAAAGCTGGACAGTCCTTTGCTGTGCCTGTCTTGATTGAAGAGCCAGGAATTATCCTCTGCTGGGAGTTTACTACGGATCCTAAGGTATCTTGAGTGACAACAGAATCATAATTTATGTGTTGAAATTTTTTAATGTGTGTGTGTGTGTGTGTGTGTGTGTGTGTGTGTGTGTGTGTGAGAGAGAGAGAGAGAGAGAGAGGCAGGGGAATGGAGGTGGGTAGAGGATGGTATCTTTTTCTGATTCAGATTCATTAAGGATCCTTGAAGATAGTTATTTTGATAGAAAAAAGAAAATGTGTATTTGTTTTGTGTGTGTGTGTGTTTGTGTGTGTTTTTGGAGGAAGGGTGCTTTAAGATATTGAAATTTTCTTTGCTATGGATATCTGTATCTTTATGATCATTATAATAATTATATGACATTAATTTTCAATAATTTTAAAATATTTATGTCCAAAATAAGGAAAAAGACTGTATGCTATAGTATCTATTTAAAAACATTCAATTTATCAAGAATCTAAATAATATACTTTTCAGAAGGAATGAAAAAGTACAATATCTGTTTATCATCACTATTTCAGAACATTCATTTTGCCGTGACGTACAGGACCAGTGAGGAGACAGCCCCGGAGACTCTGATCCCGACCACGAAGGTGAACTCGCATAAGAAACCAGTCACTGGGGAGCTACAGGCACGCCAGGCGGGGCTGTATACACTGATCTTTGACAACACTGGGTCCAGGTAATAATAATAATAATAATAACCCCTAATGATTTTTAACAACAAAGGGCCAGGTTAATTTTCCATATTTATCTAGTAATCGTCTGTCGTCTGGACATTGGAGCGTTGTTTTTATACCCCCTGGACCCCCCTGCAGAATGCCTTGCAGAATATGTATATTTCAAAGATTTCAGTAATTGGGTAATATTAAATTGTACAATGATTGATATTAATTGGTTCTAATAGGGTCAAAGCTATAGATAAATGCTGTGACAGAATTATATATTTTTTGTTCCAGGTTCACCTCAAAGAAATTAAGCTACCACTTGGAGATTAGAAGGGATAGTTGAGATTACTGATGACCATGTTGGGAGCAGGTGCCCTGTGAGGCATGCCCCCCCCCCCAAGCTTGCGCAGTTTTCCCATTTTATCCCCTCATCCAAAAAGAAATTAGAGTAGATCAAAACATATGGTGCAATGTTTGCCTTCCCTGTGCCTATGTGTAATAGTCTCCCTTAACTGGCATATGTATGCGAGGATGCTAAGCCAAGTATGGCAAAAAAAAGTTACTGTGCGCACCCCCCCCTCGCATCAGATAATGGGAAATCTCAGCTGTTTCAAGGGGCGATATGGAAAGACAATGTTCCTTGAATGCCCCCCCTCCCCTCCCCCCCCCATCATCCCTCTCCATTAAGAATTCCATAGCTTACAGATATTAAAAAGCAAATAGTTGTACTTACTCATCTTTCGATCTCATATTTTTATATAGCAGTGAATAGGCCTTTATTTATAATTTTTTTCTCTAACTGTGCCATGTTGTTTTTTTTTTCTGAAATGTTATGTCCAAATTTTATCTCAGAATTTTGGCTGAAATCCTATTATCTGTGGTAAAAAGCAAGCTTAGGGTAAATGTATGGATATTTATTACAGGCCAATATTGTGACTACCTCCAGTCCATGTACAATGTTTCTCAGCTTGCTGCTCTATTCTGATTATGGTGGAAATACTTCTCTATAAACTGTTATTCTTGTAGGTAGGAAATATGCTCAGTTGTCTGAACTTTATCTTATGGAAATGTTAAATATTGGGTTGTGGATAACTTAATATTAAAAAATTTAGATATTTTGGGGGTAAATTAAAAACCACTAAATAAGTTATTTACAAGGGCTTATTCTGAAGAAAGATAAGCACCATAAAAACTAAAAAAAAAAATATTATAAAACAACGTTTAGATTTGATTCAGGACACAGAACTTTTACCCTTGTTTTAATATCAGTATTTGTATTTGAAAATCCAGTGCACCTTAGTTTCCATACATAATTTAATAAGTGAACCAATGACAAGTTTTTTTTTTCATCTGGTCTGGTAAGTTACTGTACAAATAAAATATTTAAAACAATTTGGATCCTAGAAACTTGAAATTACTAGCTTGTTTTAAAATACTGTATGTTTATGTGCCAGTCAGATCACTTGGAGCAATGGTGCCACTATGCTTTTATGTCAACTTGATTTATTAATTTATATAAATGTTTTAGGATTCATTTATGAAGACTTAGTAAAAATCATTTAAATTGACTTAATAATTATATTATTAAATATGTTTTGTATAGTTTAATTTTAGCATTTAATTTATCAACTTTGTGATATAAAAAGAACATCTTCAGAATAAAGCCTTTTTGGAAGGAGAAATATGACATTTGTAGTATCAAATTTTAACTCGCATCTATGTTTCTAATTAAAAATAAATTGTACAAAAAATCATGCTGCCATCATTATAATAAGTTCACTTCTATCTCTGTCACAAAGTTACATAATTGTGTTGTACAAATGTTATTGCTTCATGTTAAATTAATAAACTTGTTATTTTTAATTTTACAGTGTCTTTCATTTATCTATTGGTATGCAGATTAAAAGGAAACATTTCAAGATTTTACAGATTTATTTGCACCAACAAAAGCAAATGTAAAAACAAGGCACTTTCTCCAGGAAATCCAAATAATTGATTATTTTGCCAATGAAAAAAAATTGTTTCTCAACTTAGAAAATGACATGAAAATCCTGAATACAAGTTGGATTTGAGTCAGCAAGGAAATGTGTAAGTAAATAAAACAAATATTTTAATAACAATAGTATAGGATAAAGAAGGTGCCAAACATTACTACTTTATTAAAGTAATTGTATATGCCATATTAATGCAGAAAATTATTTCCAAAATACATCTAGGATATTGTACATTGCATAGTGTGTCCATAAAAGTTCCCAGCATAAAACATCTGGAGTAATTAAAGCTTACATTATCAAATTAAAAAAAAAATTGAAATGGCTGTTACTTGAGCAAAAGAAAAAGAGGTCTAAGACAGAGGAAAAAGTTGTCATTGGCCAATAAAACCATTCTTACCTGTCCCAGTGTATAACATTATAAATATAAACTGTAAACACATACATACAGATACAGACTGAAACCGTTTTTACCTTGACTGATAAGAACACTGCAAAAATCATTTCTTCGAAGGTCAAGGTGATACTATAAATAATTTATACAGCATAAATAATTCTTCCAGTAATAACATTTTTTTTCTTTTACTTGGTTTACAGCAGGGGTCCTCAATGTTAGGACAATTTTGTCATTGTTAACTTTTTTTTGTAAAATAAATCCAGTAAAAAATTATATTCAGACACATATATTCAGATATTCACAATGCCTGTGATGTCTGTATATTATGCAATATTTTTCCATACAGATATGCATCATTTCTGAACTGCTCAGTTTCTCCATCTGGTTTCAAAATGATAATGCGTGAACAGTGTTCCAGATGAGTTGAGCAATTTCAATGACAGTTATATGATATGTATTAATATATAGTCTAAAATCTCATTTCTGGCAGAGTGGGGTATTCTTTGAGAAAACATGAACATTTTCAATGGATATTTCTTTTGTATAAAAGAAAAAGTATATTCAACAAAAATGTAAATAATGCTCAACCCTGTGTTAATTAAATGGAAATTAGAATGCATAGAGATTCAGTTCTCACTTCACTTCTCTTGAGTATTAATAATAATAATAATATCCTATAAAAATAGTTAATAATTAAATATATGTAATACAAAGAACATAAAGAGATAAAAAGCAGTTTTTTTGCTCATCTGGAATGTGAATTGGGATGAAAATCATGTTATCACATCTGGAATGTGAATTTGTATTGAATATCACATTAACATGTCTGGAATGGGACTTGGGCAAGTCATTTGTTGTCCTATCTTAAATCTGAATTGTGATGAATAAATCACATTATACAACGTGAGGAACATGTACCTATGTTAAGCAACTTCATTGCAATCCCGTATACACACCTGATACCAGTATTTCAGATAAAATTATCAGGAAATGGCAAGACTTGTAAAGTGCAAGTGATGCTTAAGCCAAGTGCTCTGTCTCTCACATCCTAATCATATCACCTGTCTATAAGAAATTTGAAGATGAAATAAAAAAGCACTGTTACTTATAAGTGAACCCTTGCTGATAGACCTCTGTGTAACTTGGTGGGGGGTCCACATCAACGTGTCCAAAGGAGGGTGGAGCAGACGGGTTCACAGGGGGGGAGGTTGTATCAGAGACAGCCAAGATATTGGAGCTGGGGCTATTCACAGTATGTGGTGTTATGGGCTTAGATGCACAGATCTTCCCTTTCTTGTACAACATGAATATGGTGATGATTAAGATAAGTAGTATAACTGCCCCTATGACTCCCCCAGCCACTGCCCCTGCATTGTTTTCATCAGATGTTTGTGTTTCACATTCAGGATCTGAGCAGGTATCTGTAATGGGGTAAGTATAAATAAATCTATAATTATCATAAATTAATACAATAATTATAATAAATTAATATATTTTAAAGTTGAAGTGAACCATTTCGACTAGCTATGCCCAGAATTTTTTGCTTTTTTATCAGAGTTTGAGTGTAAGCACTTGTGCGAGTTTGTGCATGTGTACGCAATACATACCATTAGAACAGGACTGACCCAGTTTTCCAAAGTAACATACAGACTGGCTAGCACAGAAAGGGGACTCTAAAGTTTCTCCTTCTTTGCCCAAAGAGCACCAACTGCACCCCGCCACTAAGAAACAGGAGCTGGAATACATTAAGATACAGCTTTTTAAAAAACATTAGTAAGTTGAAAAATTTTTAATAAACACGAAAAAGATTGAACAAGCACACTACATAAAATGAAAATGTTAATTTAATAACTGGTAACACTTAGTGAACAAGCAACAATGGTGAAGTTTGCAAAATAATAATAACAATTACATTTAACAAAAATTCAATGGAAATAATCAAGAAAGTCATTTTCAAATCATTAAAAATCTTCTATGATCAAGTTAACCACATATGTTACAGTAAAAACTTTATCCAATAGTTCTAACTTCTACTTCCATGTGCTTAGCCCTGTGGTACAGAGTTAACTGGAATCTCTCTTCCACCGTCAGGAGAGCTATAACAACAGAAGCACCCTGACAACAGAGGGGAGTCTTCAGTAAACTTGGGAACTCAGGGCAATCCACTTAAGAGCTTGACAAGCCGTCTAAATTTCTACTTGCCCCAATCCAAAATCAATTTTTAAAAGACTTGGGAGGTTGTGGGGAAGTAAGGGGCAAAAAAAAAAAAAAAAAAAAAAGAAAATCAAATAGTGGTGGTGGTGGATGGGTGGGTGGGGGGGGGGGGGGGGGGCTTTATAACAGCCAATTTACATTGGGCAAGTGGTTCATTAGCAAACACTTGTCTTTGTCTTAAATTCTAGTTGCCTGACTGCAGAATTCCCCAGGCGAATTCCATAATACCTCCAACAGTTATCATATGTTAAGTCTTCTACTAACTCCTAGGAGCTTTTTTTGAGCACTTTGCAAACAGTCTTCCACAAGTCTTATTTCAAATTGCACACCGATGGAAAAAAAAAAAAGGTTTCAGTGACCTCTCAACTCAGGATGAACTCAAGTTGTACTTACTCTTGGGAACTTTTTGCTGAGCAGTTCACAGGGATGCAGAGGTCCAGGTCTTTCACCTTCTCGACTTCCCCCTTGGCAATATCTGTAAGGTCAGGCGCTGGGGAGGCACAGGTTTGGGCCGAATCACTAGAGTGAACAAGACATTCATATTTGATATGAATACAAGTTGCTAAGAAAAATATTAGAAGAAAAGGGGCCCTTTGGCCCTGAAACTGGGAGTTAGGGGGCTGCTTTTTTTTTTTTTTTTTTTTTTTTACACAGAAACCGCCGATTGACTACATTTACTTCAAATACAGGTTCATTATTTTTGGTCTAATAGAATCAATAGTACAAGAAATTGATAAATGTAAATATCATAATTGAAGATCTAAAACAGAATGGTGAAAAAACAGAATGGTGAAGTATGAACTGGTCTATCTGTCTCAGAAGTAAAGTAGATGAATAGCAGCAAGGCTAATGTTTCCTTTCAATTTATACCCGACATGAAAAAAAATTCATTGTATTGTATTGTAAAATTGTATTCTGTGGTTGTGCCTTAAGGTTTGTTTAGGAAGAATAAAGATAACCGCATGTTTCACAACCACTTCCTATAATAAAAATTTGTACAGTAGTTAAAGCTGTTAGCCTAGCTGTGACAGGGACACTTACTATAATAAGTTGTAAAAATTTGTACATTAGTTAAAGCTGTTAGCCTTGCTGTGACAGCGACACTTACTATAATAAGGTGTAAAATTTGTACAGTAGTTAAAGCTGTCGGCCTTGCTGTGACAGGGACACTCGCAAGTTTGTCTTGGAGTACATTCAAACTTGGACGGAGACACGCAACTAAAAGGCTGTAAAATAATTATCACTTTATAGTATCAGATACTGAGTATTCTATTATATCCATTATATTACAGAGATGTAAGCCTAAGTTACAGTGTTTTGATTTTGACCAAAAAATAATGCTAACAACTGTCAACAATGGGTGACCCATTCCTTACAGAAAGCCACCACAGTGGAAGTGAGTGGGTAATTAAGTAATCAGGCGACGTAATTCATGACTTCTTAGAAGGCTGTGAAAGTAAAAAACATTAAAAAAATGATACAGGGTCAAAATATTTCTTTCAACTTGAGCAAAACAATTAAAACTGGGATTCATTTATGAAGAATCAAACAATTTGTAAATAAATATTGAAAAGTAAGCCTTCAAGATTGTCATTTTTATAAAAATCTTTACATGATAAATCAATTTATTTGCTATATCAATATTATTAATATTTAAAATAATATTCAAAGTCATATATAATTGACTTACACAAGAACAAGAAATACTTTCTGACATATTCTTCCTGTAGATTATCAGGAAAATGTTGCTGTTATTAATTGGTTGTATTTCATATGATGGACTGCTCTGCATGAGATCCAGTCCATTAGGATTTGGCAAACTGACCTGAGAAATGATTCAAACAAGTTGGTTTAATAGGACAATATATCAAAATTTTACTTAAGAAATACGTATGTAAAGTTTCTAACTTTATTGTAGAGAACAGTTAAAAGAGACAGTACAAAAAAATTTATCAGATTAGATGCCTTCATAATGAATAAAATATTAATCAAACATTTATAAAAACTGCTACCATTTACCTGCCAAAAATATTGTTCCTTGATTGACTCAAAATCCAGGCAGCTTCTCTTGGACAGCAGCCCCCTAGTGATCAGGTTTGAACCTATTACAGGTTCCTGAAAATGAAATCCATCCTTTGCAATATGAAAAGGGAAACATTTTTCATGTACAGACACATGTGTCTGTATATATAGCCATCACAAAACCCTATTCTGGGCAATGCCTCCGTAGTGGCAGTGAAAGAAAGAACATGTCACTTGCTCTTCTCACACTTACTGGAAAGAAACATAGGATTGAAATACAGCTTCAGTTGAAAAATTGTCTCATTAGTTAATTGTTTGGAAGTAATACAGGTGTTTTGTGAAAATGTTTATCTTCCACATGTTGCAATTTTCAATATGGGACTTAGAGCTTCCTTGGGCATGAAGCCCAGTGGTAATCAAATTTTCTTAATGTCCATGTTTTTAATAGTAGATATTTTAAAATTGGTGGTATTTATACAGTTAATCATTATGTAATGTTGCATCAAAATTGATAGAAAAACTACTTAGTGCTCTGCCACCATTAATATTATGTAAAGTGAAGTGTTACTTTCTATTTTTTTAACTAGTCTTATACAAGAATGATTCTTAGGATTGACATACAGCTCATATTAGAAAGCCAGCTTTATTGGATTATCATTTTTATTAAATTTATGCATTTTTTGTGAAATTTTCATTTTTCTTATTCTGGCACTTTCTAATTGTAAACTTGAACTCTAATGAGCCTGAAGCCTTATGCTTTTACTTTCATCAGTGTTACCTGATGTGCATAATTAAAAGTTGATGTTGATTGTGCAGTTAAACATTATATATTATTGCATCAGAATTGACAGTCTCCTGTTTTTGTGCATTATTGTTTTTCTGCTTTTCTTAATATAAGGTGTGACTTATGGGCCTGAAGACCTTTGATAGACAACTTTGTGTGGTCAGTCTGTAAATTCCCCTTGGGTATTCAGGCTTAATTCAGTGCTATAAACTCATTTGCCTAATTAAGTGGCCATTAAATGAGATTTCATAAAGCACACTTGTTAATATAGTGTTCATAATAAGGAAGCAGTGAATAGCAGCTTCATTGGAATTATATTTTTGTTGTTTTCTTTTTAATTTTTTCTCCAACACTGGCATTTTTAAGATGTGACTTTTAACTCCCATCCACCTGAGGCTCTGCACATTTTCTTTATTTCCACATAAGCAGTTGTATTGGTATTTATGTCTTTAAACACTATGTAATATAATTATTTTATGCACTGTCATCATTTTTCATATATTGGGACTTTCATCATGTGAATTTTCACTCTCATGGTGCTGAAACTGTAATCTTATTGAAGGGGTGGATTGAGACCATCTTCTGGGTCTCCTGGAAGACAGTCGGATTTTAAAGTTTATATTAATGGGTATCTATTTTTTCTGTTGGAAGACCACCAAAATGGAAGATGGATCAACAAAGATACTTTGGAATATTGTCAGAAAATATATCTGGATCTGCTCCTGTTATTGACCAAGTTACCTGTTGCGCATGATTAAAAAATCAGTGTTGACTGACTGTGCTATTATAAGCATTATTAATTATTGCATCAAAATTGACAAAATGACCTATTTTGCATCTTTTTTTTTTCCTGTTTTTTGTCTGTACATTTGACAGCTTTGCTGCCTTGTTTTTGTTTTAAATACTGCAATTTGCATGTTTAAAAAGCAATTAATTCTTTTGATTATTAAAAATAATTCAGACAATCACTGCCTTGTTTTTCCAATCTTAGAAAACTTGTATAAGCAATTCTGAATTCTAATTTACAATAAGTAATTCACCCTGTTCAAGGTATGCATTGCTTACCTTTTTTAAAATGTGTACATTTTCAATATCAGGTGTGTCTGTAGCTTTTACAAAATCATCATGCATTACTATGAAACCACTGGAATCCATCACTAAGCAGCTAAAACATAATAAATATCCATACGTACCAATTAACAAAAAAGAATATTGTATGTAAACATATTCTTTTTCTCAATATAATATTTCTATCATCAAGCACTAGGTTAAAATTAAAAAATTCCCAAAGTTTTTCAAAAGTAAAAGATTTCTTTAAAATACTTGTATAATGTACATATAATGAAACAATTTAAGTAATTGGTTGTTACCTGTATCCAGCATCTCTACAGTTTGCATATCTGTCCTGAATCACCTGGTAGAAATAAGTAATGGTGAAGTCTGTCAAAATAACTGCTGTCACCTTGTCATCAAGTGTGTGCACTCCTCCAGCTCTGACATAATAATAATACATAAAAAATAATGGTGAAGTATAATATGTCCATATTTCTATCTTGATGTTACTTTTCTGTCTTGTGTAAAGTTGGCCCAAAAAAGTTAAACATTATCAAATTTGTCGCTTGGGAGGTGAAATGATGTTCTATGAATGTGCCTGTAGGGTAAAACATGGTATGGGTCTTTAAAAACAAAGAAATTTTTTACCTTTAAAAATATGGCATTGTGCACTTTTATTTCATTAGAATATTGCTACCAAATAAATATGATATTATTCTACTTTATTATTATCATTATTACAGATATTACTCACTTTCCCTCATATAAAGTATGACTGAGAGTTATGACATAGCCAGAACCCCAAACATCCAAATATGGCGGCGAAACCACATTTGTGTCCTTGTATGTTAAGGTCCTCTTGAACCTAAAAAATGGAGGTAACAGTTCAAGGAGAATCTATTCAGTGTCTATTAGTGGATTAGATGGCATGTTTTTTAGAGGGAAGCCATATTTGACCTGCAGACTAGTTAGTCCACTGTTCTGAATGTGGCCTTAGCCTAACAATAATAAGACTGGATTTTTCTTCAGACTCGGGTAAAAGTTAATTCACTAAACATAATCTGACAAAAATAAACAGGTACCAAGCTCTCCTGGTGTGGTCGTAATTTTTCGTCAGCTGCAACCCTGGGAGAAGTCTCATCAATCCGTCCATTGTTCCAATAGATCTATATACAACAAAGTCTGCTGGTTTCCTCTTCCAGATTTCTTCAGCTTTGTATGTGATCACTACACTGTCCAGAATGGAGGTCTGGGAGAGAAACAGACACCAAAATACTACAAATGATAAACAGAATCAAATTCTATCCATATTTTAATGGATTAAGTAAAGTAGTATTCTATAATAATAATATAAAATTATTTTTAAGTAACTGGAAGAAAAACAGACAGCAAAATACTAAATGACAAACAACCAAAATGTCTAAATATTTTAATGGGTTAATGAATTTAATAATCTATAATAATAATAATATCAAGTTATTTTAAAGTAACTTCACTTTACAATGGTGACTTAGTCTTTGCCTATGTTTCTAAATTACTAGGCAATTCAGGAGAACACATCCTCACAGATGTGTTCCTTTGAACATTTTGAATCATGTCACACCAGAGATTTACATGAAACTATCACAAGTCAAATGTGTGGAGGGGGGAGGGAAGAGTATTTACGACTGGATTTCCATACCTAGATCAATCTAACAGGATCGATCCATCTCCACGGGGTTCTCACTAATTTGCTTTCAGCTTAAGGGGCTTATAGATGTCTGGCATGCCCAAAGAAGCTGCTAAACAATTATAGTTAATTACCCCCAAGCAGCTTCAGTAGGTGTGACAGAATTCTAAGCCACAAGATAATTGCAATTTAGTGAGAATCTCCTTGGAGATATATGGATCCACAGTTAGTACGACAGGGTCTGGGAATGATCCCTATGGCTTATGACCTAACTGCAGACACCACACTGTGCCTCAGACACCTGTCCTGCATTAGAATTGACAATTAGATCTGTCACAAATACTGCATTTTTAAGGCACAGATTACCTCAGGAGCCCTTATATAGAATACACAACTAACCTTCAAGCCAGGGTTCTGTGAGCTCTGTCCTGTGAGATATCTCTCATATTGTGTGACATTGGTGGCTGTTTCCTCAGTGTTCAGATAGTGATATGGCTGTCTGAAGGCCCCTGGGGTGAGCATCACTGCACTAGAGTCTGCAATATGGACAATAATTTAAAATCAAACAAATATCATCTTTTTCTACTCTGCATCATTATTACTACCATTTTGCAGAATACTATTTGAGGTATATTTTGATAAAATTAAAGAGAGATCTTTTACGACTATAATATCAATTTCCTAAATCATTTTCATTCAAAAAACCATGTGGCTTATCACAGCATACCACACATGTTAAAGCTCTTGCATATGTTACTATAAAGAGTACGAACCTTTCGATGCATATCGAGAAAAGTGCTTGCATGGACTTGATGGAGGTTCGAGGTCATATCTGTGGTAGTTAAACATGGCCAACGTTGCAGTCTGAGGTGACGGCACACTGATTTTGTCACCCTCTCCAATGACAAGACATACCGAGATATTACTCCCAGGAATCTGAAAAAACGTGAGTTGGTCCTATCTTGTAGTGCCACCTATTTGGGATAAAAGAGTTATTTCCACGGTGTTGTGATATATTGTCATTGTTACAGTACTTAATGTAATCAAGAGTGAGATTGTGACAGAAATAAACAAGTAAAAAATAACAGAATGATATAATGATGGGGCCAGTCTAAAATGCACATAATCATGTAAACCATTTAGTCAGATTGTACGCAGATGCACATTTTAACTTTTTCTTTAAACCAAAAAATTAAAATTAAATGAAGCACAACTGAAACTGAAATTAATCTTTAATTTAGTAGCTCCCTGTCACAAGTTTTCAAATGCATCTTTCCTAGTCATTTAAAGTTACTTATAATCAGAAATTAGTCTTTATTTGAAGCTGAAGTCTTACTGGTGCCCAGAAGTAATGTGACATGACATTTGTTATGCTGACACCTTCTCTGAACACATCTCCTCTGGCCTGTGTTCTGGTGGAAACAAAGCTGCTGTTATCCTCCTCACCCCTGAGAAGAAAAATAAAAAATAGATGTTTTAATTGTGGCAGGAAGAGAGTTAAAAAAATGACCTGAAGTAGGCAGAGATTAACACAGCATATACTGCTGGAAGACAGATCTTCAAGTAGCAGTATGTCATGAGAAAAATGTAGTTGCAGATTCTTTGGATTTATCTGATGCCCAAAATCTCAAATATCATCTCTCTAATTCCTTAAAAAAGATAATAAAATGCTAGAACTAAGGATATTTAAGCTTGAGATATACTTCTATAAGAACAGCACTAAAATCTGGGTATGATCTGACTCAGAAAATTACATTTGTCTATAAAGCTAATAAATAAAAGCAACTGATCTAACCTGATCATGGAGCTTATCACTGCTTTCGCAGCAGGTGCCCTCTCCAAGTGATGAATATCCACAAAGATGGGATCATCTGTGACATCATAGGGTCTTGGCAGCAGAGGGTGGGAATATGTCCTGCCATAGCCATTGATAACAAAGGCATAGCTCAGTTCACCCTTGTCAAAATAGGTGGCTTCAGAGAGGAGTTCACTCATGGCAACATCAGAGCAAGCTACACCAATCAGTCGGCCACTGTGGTATGCAGGCAAGCAGATGGAGGTGATGAGACCTGAAATATATATATATATATGTGCATCTGCGTACAATCTGTCTCTATATATATACACACATACAACAATGATTTTAAATAGGAAGCAATCTATAGAAAAACATTAATATATAAATTATATTCATCAAATTACCTGCTTCTGACCTTATAAATATGTTTAAGTAATTATAAGTTCTATTAGCATTTCAAAATATTTATTATTTTGTAATTCCACGTTCCATTAGCATTTTAAAATATTTATATCTTATTCTGTTCTGTAGCTCAAATGCCTCACATCATTAAGCTTCACATTATAGTTTTAGGTTGCATGAATCATATTTCTCTAACTGAGCTGATCTGATTTTAGGGTCAATCAGTGCAGTTTCATAATCATGGCACCTGACACATAGAAATTAAGAAGTTTAGTTTAGCAATTCACTTGGGTGTTGGTATGATCAAGTTCAGCCTTACCTGTCCCAAATAAGTCTATATATGGTACAGAGAACTGGGGGTCTATAATGGGACTGCCAGTAGAGCTGAAGATGTCGTAGTAAGACGCCATGGCAGAACGAAGACGATTTGGGTCCGTAACATGAGTGAAGGTGCCAGCCTGCAAGGAGTTTGTAAAAATTTCTGGTAAATTTCTAAGTAAATATTTCATTCCCTTTTATTGTTTAACTCTATAATTTTTCTAGCCCCCTCAAAAGCAATTATCAAGATATGCAAGTCACACACCTGATATACAAAACAATTATTTTTTCAAGCGTGAGAAAAAGTGATATAAAGAAATACTTTAAGTAATTTTTAAGTAATTCAACCAATTAGCATTTATAGCATTAATAGAAAATCATCATCTCTCCTTTAAAGTAGCATAATTTTAAATCAATGAAAAAAAGCAATTATGAAAGTTTTGAAAGCCTCACTGTAATTTCCCCATAAGATTGACTGCTTAAAGTCTGGGCAGCCATGTTCCTCAATTCAGTGAGAGAACTTTCCTCCAGGGCTAAAATTGAAATAGAATGTTTGAGTGCATGGGTAACGAATGGTTGACTTTTATCAAATCTACTAAAAAAAGGCGATTTCAAAATATTTTTCACTTCTTTGTAGTGGATTTCTAAAAAAATATATATAATAAAATATAGAACAATTCAGCTGAATGGATCTTGTCTAAGGGTGCATTCCCAGATATTTAGATCGATCCAGAGATTTAGATTTAGATCGACCTAACTCCCTGGGGATTCACGCTAAATTGCAGTCAGCTGAGTGCGCACCATAGTTAATTACCCCCTTACAGCTTTTAGTAGGCGGGACAGATGGTTAAGCCGGCTAAGCTGACAGTGATCTAGTGAGACTACCCACAGGGATAGATCGATCTAAAATCTATGGGAATGGGGTCTTAGTGTCTCCACCATCTTATCAAAAAAACATAAATTTAGGCAAATTAATGGTGTCTGTTGTCCCCTGGTTAACCCCAACCTTTCACCATATAGAGTTGATGGTAATACTCAGTCTGGTATTTGTGGATGATAATTTACAGAGTGATATAATTATTACACAATTATTATTATTATTATTAATATTATTTTAAAATGCAGACTTACACTGGCCGAGACCAAATGTTAAGATGAGGACTTGGTTGCCAAGGATGGCATTTTGATCCCGTATGGTCTCCAGAGGATTTCCGCCCTGTGTTCTTTTACCATCAGTTAGGAATAATATCACTTTATCTGAAATTAATGACTCAGAGGTAAAAGGCTGGATACTTGGTAGAAAATTTTTGAGATTTAAATTTGAATAAGCATCACGCCATGTAAAAACTATGTTAAAATTTGAATAAATTGATAAAAAATATACATAATAATGAAACACAAATATGAATATGAGATGAAAGCACTATTCTTGAAATTTATCACTGTGGATTTTCAAATATACTGCACTCTATTTACACAGAAAACACGTGACAGCATCAGTTAAACTATACTTTGCAACACAGAATTTAAATTAAAAAATTCTTTCATCTAGCTTACAATTTTAATATTTAACAAAACATTGTAAATTTTGTAAAAAAAAAAAAGTAATTCTGTGTAACAACACATCATAATATGCAGTCAGAAATTTAAACAAGGCAGCAAAGCTGTCAAATGTACAGACAAAAAACAGAAAATAAAGATGCAAAAAAGGTCATTTTGTCAGTTTTGATGCAATAATAAATGATGCTTATAATAGCACTGTCAGTCAACACTGAATTTTAATCATGCACAACAGGTAACATGGTCAATAACAGGAGCGGACCCTGAGATATTTTCTGACAGTATTCCAAAGTATCTTTGTTGATCCATCCTCTATTTTGATGGTCTTCCAAAAGAAAAAATAATGGATACCAGTCAATATAAACTTAATAACCTGACCGTCTTCCGGAAGACCCAGAAGATGGTCTCAATCCACCCCTTCAGTAAGATTACAGTTTCAGGACCATGAGAGTTCAAATTCTCATGATGAAAGTCTCAATATTTGAAAAATGATGACAGTGCATAAAATAATATTACATAATGTTTAAAGACATAAAAAACAATACAACTGCTTATGTGGAAATATAGAAAATGTGCAGAGCCTCAGGCAGATGAGAGTTAAAAGTCACAAATGCCAGTGTTTGAGAAAAAATTAAAAAGGAAAACATAACAAAACTAGAAAAGCACTCCAAGAGCGCAGACCTCTGCCAAGACAGCAATTGTTGATTATTATTATTGATTGATTATTGATCCGGACCACCACCAAAAACTAATCATTGTCTTCCTTGCCCACTTCTGACAGTTCCTGAAAATTTCATCAAAATCGGTCCGTACACTAGCTTTAGAGCAAAGTAAAGTGCATGATCTCTGCCGGACACTTAAAAACTTTCGCCTTCGCACACGAGCCTCAAAAAGACAATTGGAGTCATTAGCTGGGAGGTTATTGTGGGCAGCTAACGTAATACCCTGGGGCAGGACACACCTGCGGCCAATTTTCAACGCTTTATCAATGTTACAGCAACCATCGCACAAATGTAGGCTACAAACTATATATGGGGAAATCGACTGGTGGCTTAAGTGGTTATGGGCAGGGAATAATACCCGCTTAATCTGGGACACGCGCGAGCAGGTCCACGCATTCACGGATGCCAGTAATTCCGCAGGAGGAGCGTTCCACTACGGTGACTGGTTTTATATCAATTGGCAAGCGGACAGTGCAGCATTAAGCGTCCAGCATATCAATGTTAAGGAACTCGCCGTAGCAGTTCTAGCAGCCTATCGATGGGGCAAAGCCTGGCGTAATAAGCGTGTTGTTATTTATACAGACAGTACAGTAGCAATGGAAATACTGAACAAAGGAGCCTCCCCCAACATCATGTGCAACTCTTTACTGAAAGAACTCGCATACTTAGCAATACATTACAACTTTTCAGTCATTGCCACCCATATTGCAGGGACTGATAACTACATTGCTGACTCACTGCTTTCAACTCCACCTCCTACATACTGCCTTCATCATCACATGTCTGAAGATTCTCTTAAATTTTTGTCTTCACAGGGATCACTGCCATACAGCTCAGAAGAGAACTAGACAGGGAGGTGGCGTTTTGGAAGTCACAACTTTTTGCTCATTCCACCAAAGCTGCATACAGGTCTCACTTAAGAGCTTTCGTTAAGTTCTGCAGAGCTATCAACTGTGCGCCAATTCCCATTTCACAAGAAAATGTCTGTCGATATGCAGCGTATCTGGCACGATCTTGTGCAGTATCAACCGTCCGCCAATATCTTAACATAGTCAGAATTTTACACATGGTGTTCGACTTGGGGAAACCCGCTTACTTCTTGGGAGCTCAAGTCCATTATAGGAGGCATGAAACGCCACAAGGGAGAACCAGGCCAACAAAAAGCGCCCTTACTGCCTGAGCACCTTTTCAAGATCCATGGCACGCTGAATCTCAGTAACCCCCAGGACCTACAATTATGGGCAGCTTGTCTGACAGCAGAAGGCAAAGAGTAATGAAATACCGAAGCAAAGCTCAAAAGATGGCACCAAGCAGAAGGCTGTCACAAGTGGCACAAAATCATCAAGCGTAGAGTAGTCTGTGAATGCCACTCGCTAGCGTGGGCAGGACAGGCAGAGATCAATGGAAGATTGAATGAAAATGAAACCTACTTCTTTTTTCACCTTTAAAGGAATTCTCAGAACTATTGAATAAAGAGAATGCTTTTTCCATAGCGGCTTGGTAATTAGTTGCTCCGACTGCCCTCAGACTATCAATGTATTTTTTCAAGTTCTTGGCATTTTGAGGCGTGGCAGCAGCTAGAGATGTGGTATAACAGGTGCTCTCTGACAGCACTGGCGTGTACGCAGCCGAGGAAAACGACACTAATCCAATCTGTAGAAAGATAATAAAAGTCAGAGCACTGAAGACTATGATTAAAATAAGAGTGAACCTGAAAATTGATTTTGTTGTGTAATTATGCCAGAAAAGTTAAAAAAAATACACACACACACACACACACACACACACACACACACACACACACACACAACACTAAAAATGACGAAAATCTGGAAAAATCAGAAAAATCACATCCCTGTAAGTTCTTTGTTGGGAATGCTCTGAAAACAGACTCAACAAAGTATGCAGACATCCCCACACAAGTAAATTATCAATTAAAAAGATTAAATGAAAACTTGTCTGACACACCCTGTCATTTGCACTCAAGGTTTCCACAACAGTTCTTGCAGCATCTTTGGCAATCTGGAGCAGTGTCTTGCTGTTGTGATATGTTGTCATGGATCCTGATGTATCTATGACAACCACAATGTCTTTGGGAACTGGAGTGGCTGCAGACACATAGAATGGCCTGAAATTATAAACTTTTAATTTCTAACACTGTAAAATATAGTCTCTTTGTGTTTTTGTCTAAATACCTAGTTTGTATATACCAATCCAAACAAATAATAAAAAAATACAAAATTATACAAAAGGTCACAAAATTTTGCATAATTTGACATAATTATATATTTTGTAAAAGCAGTGATTTTTTCTTCAAATCATCAACTTGAGATAATAAAGCTCCATGAGATGCATTCAGAATACCCCTACTTAATATTCTCTTTTATTTTCCTTAATGCCAATTTCACTTTACTCAGGCATTCAAACACAGCATACAAAGACATTAAATTTTAAAAATGATTTTTGAACATGTCCATGATCATGATGGCCCATCAAAAATCCATCTCTATATCTTTTGCCTTTGCAAATGTAAGTGGAAGATTCTGATGTTTTACATTTTCCATTGTAAAAGTTATAAACATAACATGTTTCAGTGATATTAATTAAATGTTGAAAATCAGAAAACTCACTTATTTCACATACAAATTGTCCTCAACAACCTGAAATTTTAAGTCAGACATTAAGTTACTTACCTGAACCTTGGATCATAACTATCACAGTCAGGCACACCTGTGGGTTTCACTGCAGGATAATTAAGAAGTATACCATCTTCTCCTCCAAAGTACTGCCACTTCAGATTTGGATTGATGCGGATGTTTTCCTTCATCACTTCCACAACCCTTGCCGTAGGGAATTTTTTATTCACTGAACTCTGGCCTGCTACTGTCACACAAGCCTTGTCAAAGTTGACCTGTCAATTTTTGAAAATAAAATTTTTCAAATACGTGCATATGTACACATGCATACTCATGTGTTTTGTGCATTAGTGTAAACTTTGTATATGTGTGATTTGTGAATATCTGCCCCTGCATATGTATATATGCCCATGTTTGCACATGTATGTGTACATCACAAACCTCCTGACTAAACCTCTTGTCATAAGTAGCTTCCACCACTTGGCAGCACTGTGTCATAGATCTGACACTGGAGAAGCTGGCATAGTCATCTTCAATGGCATCTTTGATCTTGGTCAGTGCAGAGATCGGACCTTGGAACTTGGTTCTCAGTGAATTGGCAAGCTGAATAAAATTTCAATACATGGAAAACATTTATATGAGGATTGGTGTAATGAGATTACAAGGCATCATTTGAAGTAACGTTGCCATGGGCATGATGGTGGTTACAATTTACTGACAGAGACTGAATTATCAGGATTGGTGATTTGTGTAACTATACAATTTATATGAAAACTTTGTGGGCTTTTTTTGGTCAACAGGTCTTCAAATGGCAACTCTTTATTTTAAAAAAAATTTAAAGAACTGAAACATATCTCAATGACATAAAATACTAAAAAAATGTTCTTTTCATTTCTAAAATAAATATAAGCTTTTCACTTATATTCAGGTTGTGATTACTGAAATAAAAGCAATTAAATCTTCTTTCTGAACAAATATCTAAAGGTTAAAATCTTTTTTTCTCTCTTATATTCCTCAAAAGCCTGATACATGGAACTATATGATTTATGAAGACAGCCTATAATAATAAATGATAATGTAAATACATAATTACGATGTCCCACCAAACTCTTAATAGTTATCTTATGTTAATGTCCACAACTCAGAGTTCTGACCAAGTGGTACTGTGTACCAAACAACTCCCAAATATTTACTTCTCTAATATTCCCTGGTCCATCAATAGAATCTTCTCTATATGACACTTTGTCATATTCTGCCTGAAAAGTAAAAGATTTTAATCAAAATAATAACATAAAAACATTCGATGTGATCATTTAAAATCTAATTTGTACATTTTTTTAGAATTATATCCCTGATTATTTACTGTTGCCTCAATTTTTGTCCATACATATAATAAGCAGAAAAATTATTCTGCATATTGCATCTGAAAAATGTTTACATTAAATTGATTGTGCCCACTTTCTTATTTAAGCTATTGAATAATATTCTAAGTTTTAAAGTGAAAATTTATTTAATTAAATTTTAAATTTTACATTATATACACTCTTCTAGCATCAATTTGGCCTTCTTTGTAATAACATAAAATAATGTTACTTTGTTTTTCAGGGCAAAAATTAAACTTTATAAGTCTTTTACACCTCACTTTTAATTGTCAGATTTAATTATTTCCATTTGCTTTTTTAGGCAGTTTTGTACAGCCACTAGGCCCAACTGTTTGTCTTTTTAAACATAATACATGTAAATATATGCTCCATATAATTATTCAGTAACCACATCAGATGACTCACACCTACATTAACCTAAATTACATACATCAACCTCTTATCTTTTAATTTTATCAATTTTTGGAAAAGAAGCATGAATAATCAAACTCTCAGGATACTGATGGAATACATGTAGCTCCTGTTACTGTTACTGAAAATTGAAAGTATAGATCAGAGAAGATGGTACCATCATTTCTGTTGAAAATAAATAAAACCATTAAATTGACCACAGAATGTCTCACCTGCATCTCTTCTACCCCCAGTGCATCATTAGCTATTTCCTTTAACACCTGTCCTAATATCTGACCATCAATTAATGTGGCTCCACTGGACACAGTTAATGTGGCCAATATGGTTATTGTCAGTATATGGAATATTCCTCCAGACATACTCTTTTTTGTATTGTATATGTACATCGTTGTCTTGTGTTGTCTTCTAAAACTTGTTTGATGTTAACTGAAACAGAAGAATTATTGGATTTGATTTTGATATATTTAAAATGAATCTAATACATAAAATTTTATACATAAAAAAAAACATGACAAATACATGAATTACACAATAAAGTATAAAACTTATTTCCATTGTTGTCCATTTAAAAACAAACAATCAATTTTAGAAACAACCAATTAATACAAAGTGCAGATTTAATAAAGCCACAACTTTTAATTTCTCACTGTGTGTAAAGTAAGTAAACAAAGACAGCTATAGTGCCAGCTTTCATAAACAATGACTTAATGTTAGGTTTGTCTTATTTCCAACTTTTTAGTCTCAATTTTAGGAAAACTCAATACATATACCAGACAGTAGTGCCAGTACCCGGTACGAATATCTGACAGTCACCAAGCAGTTAGGATATATGTGAGCGTCCCTCATCGGACCCCTTTTGTAGTATGGTTTTGTCATCACGGACATGATGTATGGAAAATGTCATTATAGCCACACCTAGGATCGGTGACAATGCCTCGCATGACCTTATACAAGTACATCCGGGTGGAAAAAGCGTTAAATTCCCACAAAATTTTCCACCTTAAAAACACCTGTGTCCGTTATTCTCAATGCGCTGATACTCGAGTGCCAAACGTATAAAAGAACTGACATTTTCACCCGCACCACTGGAGCTCATTATGGGCGACAACAGGCAAACAAATGCAAATCGATTACAATTTTGACTTATAAATTGTGCAACAATCCTCAGCAATCAAACATTTAGATATATAACGCCCTTCTGTAATCACATATTAAAAACACGTACCTTAATTTTCATTTCCTATACTCATCTTCAAATTGTCTGAATCATGATTTCAAAACAATTCTTCTGTGTGTGTTAGCTAGGTTAACTAATCAAGTAGTAATCATTACACCTGTCATTTTCTACCCTCCAAATAAAAAAGAGTGTACCCATGTCTCGGAAAAAATAATAATAACAACATCCACAGAAATGCTACTTTTTTGTATTTGTTTTTTGAATTATCGTAATTTTCTATTCTTTGCGATATATTAATTGAATATGCAAAACTACAGCGAGAAAAACCTCCTCTTTCACTCTTTGCCCTACTCTTTTCAAGTTAGAGACGGGAAAATGGGCATGCTAGTTGAGGAATCGAAGTTGCTACACGAGTTGTGTCTGTTGGATCAATTTATCAATGCGCTCTTTTATGCCTTGGTTTAAATTGAGTAGTATGAATGGTCAGACGCTTGCTACTGGTGGTTATTTTTTAAACCAGATAGTTTGGTAAGATTTTGACAGATTGGGAAAAGTGAGATTGCATGTCGATTTTTGTTTATGTGTACTGGTGACTTCGGCATTGACAACCCAGCGTTGAGTAATTTTTCTGCCACTAAATATGGTGTGAGAAAAGAATTACAGTTGCTGTGAATTTGTAGCAAATTTGCCAGAAAATTGAAATGCTTATCTTATGGTAAATAGAGGAAACTCAAAAGGTCCCAAAACTCAGAGTTTCCATTTACTGAACTTAACATGTTCCTCATTTCAGATGCACCAGTGCAGTATGTTTTCCTGCTGAACTAAATGGAAATGTTCAGTGTAAACACTACAACACAGAGAGAACGTGTCTGGCAGTGTACTTGTCTCACCCTGGTCATCTTATTGTGTCCACTCCCAATGTCCAGTGGGACCCTGATAAATGGCAGGTTACTGGGAGGCATACTGGACGACATAGCTGACAATGGACTGGGAGTGTCAGATATGCAGGTACAGTATTGTGTAGTCAGAGAACGATGTAATCTAGTTATGGTCTGTGTTATATGTAGGGTTTGGCAGCCGCAGCATATGATATGCCCCAATAGCTACTTGTATAGGACGCCTCTGAAAATGTTAAACCTTTTAGTTCATAAAATATTCTTATAGTGGAGCATCCTCATGGTGCTTACCATACGTGTTATTTCTGTTCAGGGGCGGATCCAGAGATATTTTCTCACAGGCTTCCAAATTATCTTCATAAATCCACCCTCATTTTTGACCGTCTTCCGACAAAAAAATTAGATACCCGTCAATGTAAACTTGAAAATCTGACCGTCTTCCGGCAGACCCAGAAGACGGCCTAAATCCGCCCCTGCTGTTGATAATACCCTGGTTACGGTCAGTAAGGTGCATGTTACTTCATGAGCAGGAAACAAAAGTGGATATCAGTTGTTCACCTTCAGCTGACTTACACCAAGACTTATAAACTTCAATGACAATGAATGTGTCCATGATATATGAGTGTATACAAGATATACAATGTCTCTTTTAAAGTTTTATCTCTTTTGAACCCAACATCAGCAGATGTATAAGCCTAGTCACTCAGCACATCATTGTAAAATGAGAATTCGGACATTTTCTAAATTACTTTTCAGCCCTTGTAGTTGATATGGATCAGTTTATAAAACTACTGATGTGAGGAAGGAATTGGGGTATTATTTGAATATTCTAATATGCACCAATATTTTTACATCTCTTGAATTTTATCCATTTTACAGCAACCTGTATGTTTAAAAAATGTTCTGCTGTTCTTTGCTTTTGTAATATCTTGGCTGTGTCTTTCCAGGCAGAGTATGATGCTCTAAAGTACACAAACAGTCCTTTAGATGGAGCTGGCATCTCTAAACAGGTGAGTTATTAAAAGATAAATAATAAAAGACAACTTCAAAACTTAAAGCACTGACTTCTGGGTTGCACTTGATTCAAGGTGGTTGACAGGTGGCAAGGTGTGTTACGAGGGGTCAAAACTGATTTTTTTTTTGCCACGTTGTTTTGTGGCATTTATCTGTTAAAATGTAATCAGAAAGTCCTCAGATAAGTTCAACAAGAAGTGGGCTAAGTACTTAGTTTTCCTTTTAAAATCTTAAACTTTGTCCCCTTGACTAAGTGGAAAAGAATTATATTCATGCATATACTACAATATATTTATTGCTTACATGTTTCAGCTTGCAAATTCGATTAGTGCCCAGATCCAAGGAGCTGAAGCAGCATTGAAGGGCCTGGTAAATGTAATAGAAGAGCAGTACTCGTCTTTCTCTGGGGAGAACCAATATACACAGTGTTGTGAGATTACAGATACCAATGATGACCCTAGATATAAATCAGAGGTATGTGGAAATATCTTTTACCTCTCGTTCTCTCTCTGTCTCTCCTTTTTTTGATAGGACCATTCCAGAATGTAGATACTAACAGAAGAAAGTTGCTTATTGACATATACGTTTAGAATTGCATAATTATTTAACCAGTGAGTGTAAACTTTTTTTTTACATAGTTTCACTGGAACGGTATAGATGACAAGCTAAATTCACAGATGATAAAAGAAATCTAATGGAAGTACTGTTTTAATATTTTTTTCTTCTACATCCCACCCATATTTATTCACAGGTGATATATATTGCCAGTAATTATAATATGAATAATTTACAGGTAAACTTTGACAAGGCCTGTGTTACAATAGCAGGCCAGAGTTCAGTCAATAAAAAATTCCCCACGGCAAGGATTGTTGAAGTGATGAAGGAAAACGTCCGCATCAATCCAAATCTGAAGTGGCAGTACTTTGGAGGAGAAGATGGTATACTTCTTAATTATCCTGCAGTGAAAACTACAGATGTGCCTGACTGTGATAGTTATGATCCTAGGTTCAGGTAAGTAACTTAATATAGGACTTCAGAGGTACATATATATCTAACAGTGTAAGGATTAAATAGAATAGCAATTACCAGCTAGAGATTAATTCTTAACATAGAGTCTCCTTTTAATTTTGCTCACTTGTACCTTTCAGGTCTTTCTATGCATCTGCAGTGTCTCCCGTGCCAAAAGATGTTGTGTTGGTCCTGGATACATCAGACTCAATGAGAACTTTGCACAATGGCAAGACCTTGATGGAGTTAGCTAAGCAGGCTGCAAGAACTGTTCTTGATTCCCTGGGTCCCAACGATCAGGTGGGGTGTCTTAGGACTCTTTGGGCTGTGTTTGTTCAAAAGATTAAAATTTCCAAGACTTTATCTTTCCAAAGAAACCTGTTTTTTCCATAAAAATGTGATGCCTTTTTTTTTTCAGCTGTGAAGAACATCCACAATTATTGAATTAGATAATATCTGAACTTTAAACTATAAGTTTATATTTTTCCACACTTCATTCATTTATACAGCTAATAGTAAATAGGAAAGAGTTTTAGATTTTTAATCCTGAGAAGAAAGGAGGTGTCTCAACATCATATTAAAGCAGATCCCATTTTTAAAAGTTATGATCATATTCATTAGCAAAGGACTTTGAAGGTTTGTACATTGTCAAATGGTCGTGGGGCTCAATTATGAATAAACAATAGCTAAAATGACACTTTGTTCTACAGATTGGTCTGGTGTCATTTGCCTCCTCTGCCTCTACCCCAGTGCTGGCAGAGAGCACCTGTTATACCACCACTTTAGCTGCAGCCACACCATCAAACATTCAGAACTTGAAGAAATACTTGGACAGTCTCAGGGCCACGGGAGGAAGAAATTATGAAGCTGGGCTGAAAAAGGCTTTTTCTTTCTTCAGAAGTTCAAATGGAACTGTTAGAGGTAAAAATGTTGATACTTAGAGGATTCTGGGACTGGTTTAAGAAATGTCTTATTTCATTATGGGTCTTGACAAGGACTAATGTGGATCTTAGCCGAGATGTGTTTAACAGTGAATCGATAAGACTGCCTATCATTTTTTTTTTCAGTCTTTCACCTAAGTCAATTTTATATAGCACATTATATTTATTTATTTATTTATTTATTTATTTATTTTTTTTTTATTTTTTTTTTTTTTTATTTAAGCACATTGTATTTGTTCTGGATATTTTGTTTGTTTTTGTTTTTTTAATCAATGATTGAATTTAAAAAGCTGTTTTAACACAGGTTAAATGTAAGAAAACCTAACTGATTTTTAAGGTCAATTGTGGCATTTAAATAAAATTTTTTATATCATTTTCAGACCAGGTGCTACTATTTCTGGCAGCAGGTGGCAGCAGTGAAGGCAGTGATCCAGTCAGCACAATTAGGGATGAAAATGCTGCTCTGGAGAATAAAGCTTTAGTCCTCACATTCGGTCTGGGAAAATGTAAGTAGGGTAGGAGTGAAATTTCTTGGGTCTGGTTTTATCATGGTCACTGAAAATTGGACTTATCTGAAAGGTGTGCTTTAAGTCAGTACAATATATAAGACTGAAAATTTGTATTTTTATCTTATAATCATTCTTAACTTAATTTGACTAAAAATTAGTCAGTCATAAATATCAAAAATTGTATATTGTGCTGTATAGTATATGTTTTGTTTTATAGGCAGACATGGCTAATATTATAGACCAATAGTTACTTGTACTTTGTTTCAGTGGACTACTGTGGATTTGCTTGCACATGCTCAAAGCATCTCTTCATTATTTGACAAACAGTAAAAGTTAAATTACTATTTTATAATGATATTTAAGATACATTGGAATATTTTGTACTGCTCCAGTTTTTAAGAAACTAATTTTGATATTTTAGCATAACAAACATCATTTTAGATTGAAATGACCTATTTCTACAAGTGAATTGCATAATGTTCTGGAGATTTTTTTCTGTAGCTGTCGCTGGTAGTGTGCAGACGACACTTCAAAATATGGCCGTCCAGACACAAAGCAGGATGTCTGCTGGAGAAGTCAAGGTGAGAGAAATTTGAAAATGTATTTAATGAAATCTTTATTGAAAGATTTGATCACCATTACTTTATTTGTTTATAGGTTGGAAGTCATTGTGCTGAATATTACTGATTTATGCATTATTTTTATGGGTCCAACTTGGAAAATAAAACATTTTATTATGAAGAAGATTATATGTAGCAATTAGAGAAAAGATACCCTCAACCTATTACTACATAGTCCCACATAGTGGTTGACTCTACCTGGAGAATAATAATAATAATGTCTGAGTATCAATCTCATTTTCTAAAATTGTTATTATAGTTTTTAAATTAGTAAAATAACTATAGAATATATAATGTTAGGTCATAGTCATTAAGGTGTACCAAATAATAAGTTAATAAATAGATAAATAAAATTATTACACACATTTTATCAGTTTAGCTCCCAATGCCATTATAATACAATTATTGTTAATACAGTGCTTGTTGTCATAATTTCAGATGGGGACATTCACTATTGTTGAGAACCCAGATGATCTCTCTGTTGCTATGGCAACGTACTATAAATTCTTCCACTCTCCCAGTCAGGGTGTCAGTAATCCAGAGATCTCTGCCCCACACAGGGATATGTTGGATAAAGGTAAGACCATTTTCTGTCCCCTAGTCCTATAACTGTCATATACTAGTGGTGACTTTTTCTTTGTGAGCAAGAGTCATTTAATGAATTTATGTATTGAGTTTTTGTCAGATGTTTCAGTTTATTTAAATTGATTAGAATTAAAGGTATTGATTTTATTATTGATGATTCTCTGCTCACTTCATCACTGATTTGTTAAAAGAGGTTGTTTAACTACTCACAACAACAACATTTAGTTTGATCCACTGTCTTATGAGTCAACTACACTAGGCCAAAAAAGTCTGAAAATATCACTATTTTGAATATTAATAAAATAACCATTATATTATGAGCTAAGGTAAATATTTATAACAAATTTTATTGAATAATGCACCCACCATTCATTTCTTCATTACACTTAAGATTTTTCCACTACAGTACATATTTTTTTAATTATTGAAAAACAATTTCATGTTTCTAAACTTTTTTGGTCTAGTATGTATGTGGCAACTTATTCTGTGTTTTATGTGTGCGTTTTGTTGTGCTTTGTTTGATGTATATTTTTATGATGTCACTTTCCTTACAGGTCCTTTACAAAAGTTCTTTAGCTTTATATTTGTTTGGCTATAAATTGCTTCCTATTTAAAATCATTGTTGTTAGCTTGTTCGTAAATATTTTCAGGTCTCATCACCTCCATCTGCTTGCCTGCATACCACAGTGGCCGACTAATTGGTGTAGCTTGCTCTGATGTTGCCATGAGTGAACTCCTCTCTGAAGCCACCTATTTTGACAAGGGTGAACTGAGCTATGCCTTTGTTATCAATGGCTATGGCAGGACATATTCCCACCCTCTGCTGCCAAGACCCTATGATGACCCAGATGATCCCATCTTTGTGGATATTCATCATTTGGAGAGGGCACCTGCTGCGAAAGCAGTGATTAGCTCCATGATCAGGTTAGTAGTAGACATTTTTATTATTTCATAGACAAAACACAGGCTGGTCCAAAAAGATGTTTCCATTTTTATAAAGTACCATTTTCTGTTGAAAGGAAAATTCAACAATTTTTTTCACATACCTGTCTCACAGACATTAAAGTTTTGTTGACATATTTGTAAAGCTTTGATCAAAATAACACTAATTAAAGGGTGAATTACATATTTTATTGCTTGTAATATTTTTATCATTAGCCACTGTAATTAAAAAAGTACTGATGTGAGAGAGCCTTCTTGAAACAATTATTTTTCTTCTCAGAGGCGAGGAGGGTAACAGCAGCTTTGTTTCCACCAGAACACAGGCCAGAGGAGATGTGTTCAGAGAAGGTGTCAGCATAACAAATGTCATGTCACATTACTACTGGGCACCAGTAAGACTTCAGCTTCAAATAAAATCTCTGATTGTAAAAAAAGATTAATTAACATCAGTAAATAAATGTAGCTGCATATAGCAAGCAGGAACTTGCAAAGGTGTACTTGAAAATTTGTGGCATGGAGTAACAAATTGAAGAGATTTGGATAGTAGTCATTTAAATAAGTTTTTATAAGTAAAATATTGGTCAGTCTGTAGTAAATGAAACTGTTAGAACTTAGAAGTGATCCAGATCGTTTTTTTTTTGTTTTTTTTTTTAAATTTTTCCTCCCTGCCAAGGAACAAACTGTTTAGGTTCACCTAGGTATTATTATCTTGACTAAACAAATGCTAAACATTTCAGTAAACTTTTTTTTTTTTTTACAAATTTTATCATTTATTTATTTTTTTATTCCATGATATATACAGAATATTGAAAAAAAAACAATGAAATAACAAGTTGTTTATTATAATATAAGTTTTATTCTAGAGAGAGAGCCCATGACATTGAATTTCTGTTTCCCTCCAGGTTGCAGGCAGTGCCTGGTCTGTGTGTGTGGTGATATCAGATGGTAGCAAGAATACAGAAATCTCCCCTCCTACTGTGCTGCCATCTATGTTTACATACCACAGACTTGATCTGAAGTCGGCTTCCAGCCCATGCAAGCACTTCTTTAAGTATGCAACCAAAGGTGAGAGATTTTCTTTTTGTATCTTTTTCTTATTTTAAATGATTTTTTCTATTCTTTCTGTCAATGAAAACATTTCAAAGAATGCAATCACAAGTTTGTGATAATTTTTGTACCCAACACATTTGTATGATAGTAAACTGTCAGCATGTCGATTTAAGAAAATGTAGATGCTGGTTCTGTATGTGATAATGTATAATTATCTCTATAATTCTCTATGATATGTGATATTGTCCATATTGCAGACTCTAGTGCAGTGATGCTCACCCCAGGGGCCTTCAGACAGCCATATCACTATCTGAACACTGAGGAAACAGCCACCAATGTCACACAATATGAGAGATATCTCACAGGACAGAGCTCACAAAACCCTGGCTTGAAGGTCAGTTTTCCTTATTTTATTTTTCAGTTTTGAGATCCCTGTACATGTTCACACAAACGCTTCCTAGACTCTAGAACTATTCTGGCACTGTACTGGTGCAGAGTGTCAGCTAGTGTTAATATCAAGTAGGTAATATATATGTATACATATGATCAGGGAAATATTCACAGATGGAGGCTAACATGTACAGATCTTTGTTATTGCAGCAACTAGTTTGCAGGAGCTAGCAAGAAAAATAATCTTACTGCTAATTTGCAAGGAGGAATTGCAGTTTGCAGCAATATTGTAGCAAATTTGCTGTGACTTTGCAGCAGGCTTGATATTTTGCTAAGGGAATTGTGTCTCACAAAGGAATGGTTTTTATTCTCCACTATTTGTTTGAAGAACTGATGTTGAAATGGTTTTCCAGAACTGAAATGGTCTTTAATTATATACTTAGAAAATGTGGTATACACATAATATAGCACTCTGAACTATCTCCTTCTAGAACTCAGTCCTGGGCAGTGTGGCAGCCACTTACAAAGCAGAAGTCATCTGGAGGAAGAAACGTGCGGACTACATAACCTGGAGGTCTATAGGCACCATGGACGGTGTAGTCAGAGTATTCCCTGGGACACAGCTGGCTAAGAGTTATGACCACACCAGGACTGATTGGTGAGTCTTAGACTGGGTTTCCATGCCTAGATTAATCTAACAGAATCGATCTATCTCCAAGAGGTATTTTGCTAAATTGCTTTCAGCTTAAGCACGCCTACTGAAGCTGCTAAACAATAATTAATTACCCACTAGCAGCTTCAGTAGGTCCCTTGGGTCCGTCTGTCCAGGAGAACTCTACACTGTGGGTTGGCTTTAACTTAAAGACAAAAGGTGCTAGTCTATTTTAATACTCACAATACAAAACCATAGTCCAGTAAAATGAAATGTAGTCCCTGTTTTATAAAAAGGCGGTTTCTGTTTAAGGCTAATAGTTACTTTTACTACAGATTTTCCTTAATTTAAGTTGGATAAAATTTTTGCCCTCCAAGTTAATACTTGGTCTGGCTTTTGGTGTATTAATTTGTTATTTTGTGATGATTATCTCAGTTTACATATATATAGTTTGTCATTATTAAGAGGCAAAGGATGGGACTCATAGTTTTATATGTATTTTGGCAAAATAAGGATCTGTGACATTTTGGTGAACAAAAAAATTCTAACTATTTTTTGTTCAGTAATTTGTGTGATCTATCATTTGCTAGTACATAATAATGAGTCCATGGTTCACTTTAGGTTCCAGAGGAGCTTGATGGACAAAGGTAAAAATGTGGTGTCTGCACCGTATCTGGATCCATGGGGTTCTGGCTATGTGATAACACTGAGCAGGACTTTATATGAGGCAAAGTAAGTTATATCTGTATTATGGCATGCATTTTTATAATGTGTAATGGGCATAGCAGTCACTTGGTGTTGTTTTTGGGAGAAGAACTCAGTTCCATGGTGTCGGCCATTTTGAACATAAAAACAACAGCTTTTCTAATAGGGTTTTCCTAGGGTCAGTTGTAAAATTTTCTCCCACTACATATTTTCCATTTGAAAAAAAATGCATATGTATGAAAAACGTTTTTTTTTTTTTTTTTCCAAAAATTAAGGTTGGTCACACTTGTTAACCAACTTAAGTTATCAATTTTGTCTGGCCTTATTATTATTATTATTATTATTATTATTATTATTATTATTTTGTGATTTTCCTACCAGAGCTGACAGGCAACACACTCCCAGTGACAATATAGTGGCGGTGATGAAGGCAGATTTCACACTGTATTACCTCTACCAGGCCATACAGGACAACTACACATATTGCAGCCTGTCTTCCTACAGGTATTGCCTGAAAACTTTCCCTCGTCTCATACAGCGTTTCTATCCCCCCTCCCCCTCCCCCTCCCCCTTCTCTCTCTCTCTCTCTCTCTGCCATTTCATTTTAAAT